TTTGATCGACTCCATTCGGACATTCGGCATTTTTACATAAGTATCGATGCCGATTCGGAGTTTGTACGATTCGACAGATGTATGGACGCGTTTCCAATCATTTTAAATTTATTTTTTACGCGCAACAGCGAATCTGGAACAACCTTTTTTAATAACGCGATATATGATATAATTTCCACGTCTGAGACGCGGCACGGCATGCATGATAAATAACCGATATAACGATTGATACGATAGAAATGTCGTGCATTTTTAAGGCATCACCCCTAACGCCGTATCACTCATGCTTTATCGCTGTACCGATCTTATACGTTACAGCTCCAACTTCGAGACGATCGTCCGCGAAATCACGGCTGGGCATAAAAGTATCAGCACGCATACCCGTACAGTTCGGTAATATCCCTATGAGTTCTTCGTTATAGGTACACGCGAAGAAGGAACGCTAATCGTCGAGTTTTTGTGAATACCCATACACATAATATTACGCGAGCCGTTACGGCAATTTACGTACGCAGGTATATAAATGCACAAAAATAGATTTTATCCATGTCATAATTATACCTACAAACGTATTAACGATCTGCTGCCGGCAGAAAAAAGCAGTCGCGTAATTAACGATTTTCAGGGAAATTTACGGCTCGGCTCGCGAAAAATCCCAATCGAGCGAAGCCTTTTACGATCGGTCTCGCGGACGACGATGATCGTCGTGGCCTCACACGCATATCACTGAGCTCTTCGGGGGGGAGATATAAAACCAACCCGCTGAGAGCCAGCACAAACTTGTCAATAAATCGTCACGCATCCATCAAAAGCTAGAAAAGAAGCTCGGCAGCAGCAGTGCTAGTTTTATATATAAGGCAAAACGAGTCCGCAGGGCGACGATGATGATGACGACGATGACGAGATACACACAGAGGGAGAGAAAAGAGAGAAGAAAGAGTAAGACGACGACGACGACAAGGCATGTAACACGCCCCTAATGCGCGCCTCAAGATCGATCCCGCGCGCGTAGTATAAGGCCCAAAAGAAATGCGCGTAATGACGATCGTAGTACTCATCGCTCTTACATCCATACACATACACATATTTTATATATAGGCTATATATATTCACGTACATATAACACACAGATTGGAAGTACATATATTTATATTTTGCCGCGTCTGTACGTGTGTGTGTGTGTGTGTGTGTGTGTGTGTGTGTTTAATCGACAAGTGGGCACATAATATTGCCAAGGCCGTAGCAGCAGCATATACGTGCTGGAGTACAGAGAGACGACGCGTGTACGCAGACATAAGTAACCGGTTTATCTGTACCTTGTGCGCGGGTCGAGACAAATAAAACACACTCGCTCACTCGCGGGGGGAAAGAGAAGAAGAAGAGGAGAGCTTGGCTCTGATAAAAATTCCCTATGCCCTCTCGTCGTCGTCGTCGTCTACGATGCTCGATGGAAAAAGTCACGCGTCTAGTCCCGAGATGTAGCGTATACGCAGAATTTCCCTCGTTATTTTGCATTTTACGGAGCGAGTGAGCTCGTGTGCGTACGAGTCGTTTCTTTTAATTTTAGCAGCCGCGCGACTCGCGAGCAGTACACATAATAAAACGCCCGATTACTCGATAGGATCGATGAACTTGAGGAGATCGTAAGCCAGTTATAAAGCTGCAGCTCGTACGAGTGCCAAGTGCAGCTAGTTTCGGTTTTATGGCTATTTTTCATACGCGTAGCTTTATATACGCGGCGTTATACAACTGGTCCGAACGACGCAACAGCGTTTATAGTGCGTATCGTATGACTCGATTCACAAATACGCGCGTCTGTATACTATGGCCGTTCGGCTCTTCCGCGTGCCGGAAAATTTCGCGGTAAAAAATACATGCGTGTTCTCTAAGTCTCAGCCTGGCGCGCGTGGATGCGTTGGCAAGTCAATCAGCGGCAGGAGCTTTCCGCGAGCGTCGAATTTGTGACATTTTATCGTCGGCGTTGCGAGAAAAGCTCGCGACGAACGTCACGTCTTTATTAGAAGCCGCGCGTGAAACATCGTGTATCGATAGCGCTAGTTCGCAATAATTCTTCATATTCGATCGATCATCCCTTGTATATGAGTCTCCCACGCGCATCTGTAACAACAACAACAACAAATTGCGTTCATATCCCGCGCGATAGAGAGGAACAGGTGCGATAAATCACGACACCTATATAATAATATACATGCGTATGCGTACGGATATAGCTGCGAGCGAGCTCCTGACACGAGCGAGTCCTGCATCGTCGTCCACGCATCGTCGCGTCTGTTTACAAGCTCGTATACATATATACGCATATTATACGTATCGATGCGCGCAAGTACATACAAGCGGCAAACGAATCGAGTGCTATTACACGCGCGCGCGCGGCGATTGTAATCGCATTAGTATAACATCCGAGAGGCGAGTATTGCCTGTATAATAATTATCTTTTTTCTCTCGGTCGAGTGGCTCGCTCGCTCGCGAGAGAGAGAGAGAGAGAGAGAACAGCAAAACACATGTCATATGAGCGATATTACACTTGTGTATTAATTAATAATCGTGTCGCGCGGGGCCGGCTGTATATAGGGGGCTTATCGGTCGATGGAACATTTCAAGTCGCATCGATGATCGATAATTCTCTCGCATTTTCAAGCACGTGAATCAGACCAAACGAGACGAACTTTTCAACGAGTCGTGTTCGGGATTTCTCGAAACGTCATCGCGAGCGATTTTTTGTTCTCGTAAATGTATAACGATCGTGTTATAAAACGAGTTTTGGACATTTTTCCAATACACATTGTCAGGCAGCGGCGGCTCTCTTCGCGAGAAAGATTATTATTAATAAAAGCGTCGTCGTCCTCAGCTCCTAATCGGCGCATCTCTTAATGCATTTCGCTCGTAAAAACTTCGTCTCGTCCTACCACTTATTCGTCGACGCGCTTATGTATCGATGCAAAACGATATTTCGTTCGTTCGCGAGCGCCGCCGCCGCCGCCGCCGCCGCCAATATCCGCGCCCTTGTCTAAGTACATGCATACATTTGCGACGGCGATGTGCACTTAATTAATTTCCAATCCGTCGACGGCTTTAAACGACTTTGGAGAGTAACCTATTTTAGCGCGGGACGATCCAAGAGTGGAAAAAGTGCTCTGCCCAACGAGGCCGGGTGGGAGAGATAACCGAAGAGCACAAGCCAGGCGTTGCCTTAAAAGCTATTTCATACGAAAAATCCTATGCTCTCCTGCTGCTGCAGGCGAGATGGATTCTTATCGACTCCTCTGCCTCTCTCTCTCCTATGCACACGCGTCATATCTCCAGTCCGCGAGTGAATTATATCGGATTAAACCTCGCCGGCGCAAACGATCCGTTTTTACTTTCCTCTGCCGGCGCGCGCAGCCGCGTATATATCTACTTTTAAGGATATACATTCTATATAACACGCTGGGCAAAGTATTTTCTCTCGTTAGCGGCGCATCGCTCCGACGGCCCATGTGTGTATTTATTGCGTTATTAGAAGCATACGCCTCGACGCAAAACATATGCTCCTAGGCGTTACGCGTGCAACAAGAATGCCACGCTATTATAGGTATGCAGATGAAAAATACGAAAAGCGCCTGGCTATGCTGCGCGCGTCCAGGGGGGTCGCCGCGTTCGATCGACGTACAAATACGCTTAAACCTCGAACCAAGAATAATCGTCGCCGATTATTAATAATACGGAAAAAGCATTCGTTTGCTGAGGCTGTGCTTTATAAGGCGAGGATATTTTTTCATTCGTTCCCCACCTTGTAAAATAAGTCATCGTCCGAAAGCAGTCCTATATATCGCGACTAGATGAAAGAAATTCGAAACGACTCTAGGCGCGCCTCTCTCGTCGACTTTTCTTCCTTCGTTAGGAGCAAATCGTCGTGTCCAGGGAGTTATGCCGAGAATGCGTCAATCTCGGGATGCCGTTGCCTTCGTCGTTGCAGCCGCCGACACCACGACCTTGACTGACTCGAGTCACCGAGTCGATGTTTCATACATAATAAAAGAAAATATGTTATATGAATACCTTCGATGACGAAAAAAGAAAAGAGAGAGAGAGAGAGCAAAAACGGAAAGAAAAATAAAGCGTCGATTTTTTCGGTTGTGCAATCGATCGAGGAAGTCTCGGGAAGGAAAACCTTTGCACGCGCGGCGTACGATGACGGATCAGTTACACCGCGCTGTGTGTCACGCGTCCGTCGAAATTTCCATTAAATTCGACGAACAAAGCAAAATCGGTACACTTTAAACCATGCGGAAATTTCTGTTGATCGAGTACACGCGATCACATGTATCTCTCATTTTGGTTTAAACAATCGCTGCTGTGGAGGCAGCTTTGATCGCGCGGCAATTTTTCCGTACCTCATATGAAGCTTTTTTTTCGAGTGCACGCCACTCGAAACGCAGTCTTGTATCGTATCTCTGATAAAGGTGATAAATATTATGAGCGCGACGCGATGAGTGAGTGATAATGTAAACCGCGATGATTTCACGAGTGTAACAGAGAGAGAGAGAGAAATTCAAAACACACCGTACGGAGAGACAGATAGAAAGCCAGAGATAAACCTCGAATTTTCGAATCTTGTAATGATGAGTTAATATTTGTAATTGTGGCTATTGTGCAATTTTTGCGACAAAATTTATTGATGGCATTTATTTATTGACAATTTACATGCCTCCACCCGTGCTTACGCACGCGTACCGAAGTGTTCGTCACATTTTTATCAAAATAATATTAATTATTTTCAACTTCTTCTTTTTTTTTTTTTTTTTTTTTTTTTGATTAATTATGTGTGCGTTAGTTAAAAAAACAGAGCTGCGCGAATTATCTCACGCGATTATGCGCTGACTTCGATAAGACTCGAGAGAGTATAAAAAGCCAGTCGAAAAAGGGTAGAGACGATTCAGTGCTTAGCAAGCGATCAAGTGCAATTCAACTCGTGACATAAAAAACAAAACCCTAATCAACATGAAATCCATCGTAGCTTTCGTTCTCCTTGGCATCGTCGCCGTCGTCTTGGCCGTGCCTAAATACGGTGAGTCATTGTGTCCTCTTGATTTTATTTCTTTTTTCCTCGATACGTAAAATTGCAAAGTCTTACGTTATGCAAAATTTTGCGATTTTCAGACAACTGCGACGAGGATGTGCAAAACAGCTTCGACAAAGAATCGTGCATCGAGGTCCACTGCGAGTCGTTCAAGAACGAGACTCTTCAGTTCAGCAAGCTTCGTGCCCACTCGTAAGTATCTACTCACGATAGATAATGGGCGACTTTTGATGCTGGCCATTTCTTCTAATTTTGTATTCTTTTCTATAGCTGCCCACTCGTCTACTGCAAGGAAGGCGAGAAATACAAAGGCGAAACCCCCGTAGACGAGAGCAAGGTCTATCCAGACTGTTGTGCCAAGCCCATCTGCGAAAAAGTCGCCGCCGTTGAGCAGGAGAAGCCCGTCGAGAAGCCAGTCGAGAAGCCCGTAGAAGCCGAGAAAAAACAATAATTTTCTCTAGTCTAGGATACGTTGTCAGATGGTTTTTTGTACTCGTTTTTATCACTCGCTTTTTTCTCGCGAGAAAAATTTTTGAATAATAAAATAATAAACGAACGTTTGACGTTTGAAAAGCAAACACAAGGCTTTGATGATCATTTTCATTCCTCCGACCCAATCAAAACAATGTATCCGTATTATATTACGATATACTTACATGTCGTCTCGAGAGCCGACGATCGAGATAACAAAAAAAAAAAATTGAAAGAAAATAAGTAAATAAATATAAACGCGCGGAATAGAAAAAATTAATGAGTTGGCGAGATCTTTTCGATCGCGAACGATCGTTTCGTACACACGTCTCATTTCAATTTTTCTAGCCTTGAAAGCTCGGGCCTGATTCGATCATTATTATTGGTATACGGTCACCATTATTAACTCCGATAATCCCGATCCCCGCAAAAGTTTCCCACATAAAGAAAAGCTTGTGTATACATACATGCGTGTACCACAATGACGAATAACGTCGTCGTCGAGCCTGAAAAATGTAGAAGGGGGCAGGAGTAGTAGTAGTAGTAAACAAGGCAAAAAAAAACCGAACGAAAGAAATCGTAATTATTTATTAGCAGCTCTCGGTTGAAAATGCCATTATTAGCCATGTATCCGCGAACGAACGATCATAATCGTGCTGCAGTGTTCGCAACCGTCAAACGCAATTGTCGCGATGAGCGCGCAGGGGTATACACACTCATGCGCGCGCGAGATTTTTCCGCAAAGTCTCTCCTCGTCGCGGGTAATTGGCTGTTGTGCGCTGCAGCGATCGGTTTCATCGCGCGCGATTGATTCATCAAGAAAATCAGATACATAATATAACATATATCCGAACGAAGAATACAAGACGACGCAGTGCAGTGCAGCACACGCGTTCTCAATAATGAACTCTTAAAATGGTCATTTTGTGTATAGCTCACGGAATAGTAGTGGTAGTAGTAGCTGGTGTCACCGAACGAATACCAATTTCCTGTGCGCGCGCGACGACCGAATGGGAAAATATACCATGCGACTTTTTTTTCCTAATGGCCGGCTCACACGGCGCAAGCAGCAACAGGTGTCGCGCCTGCATGCCGTATACTACACGTGCCTTTACTCTACTACATATACATGTATATATCGGCGTATGTATATCCTTGAACGAAGAATAAAATCGCAAATTCAACATTCGTTGAATCGCCGGCTGCCATCAGCAGCTCCCGTCCGTATACTGTAATAATATAAAGGTACTTGTAAATCGTATCCAGTGCAGAGCTCCTAGAGGAGTTAGTATAACGATGCTGCGAGGACACGCGCGCGTAAATATCGCGAGAAAATTCAATAAAGCAAGCCCATAGACACACACGTACACACAGAGTCGATAACAAGTGCAGCGGTAGCAGCTGCCGCGGGCCAAGTTTTATAATAATATAAACGCCGTGTATACGCGTGTGCGTATGCAAATTAAAGGCCCCTCCGATAAAAGCGCCAATGAACGAGTGCTTTCCCTTGTAAAATGGCTCCATTAGAGCAGCGACCATAACGCACGACCGCGAGAGAAAGAGAAAGAGAAAGAGAACGTTGAACCGTGTCTTGGTCGATTGTTTTGTTTTTTTTATTCGACGAAGTGTCAGATTAATCGACTCCTGGATGGATTAAGCTCCTTGTATTTGCTTTATTGTTACTCGCTCTCCGGCAACATGAGGAGTCGTTCACTTTTTTTGTTGCTGTCGTTTTCGTTGTCAGCGGATTTTGGCAAAACACAACGATTAGTTGAATCCTGTGTCCCGTTATATAGCCGTGAACTATAACGACGCGCTGTGTGTGGACAAAAACATCGCCCGAAAACGGTATACCGGAGATACAATACGTATACGCGAAAACGCCATTAATCAAATACTCAATTACGAATGAATAATTTTTATTACGAAAAAGACGTTTTTTTAAACTCAGATTTCTTTCGGCATTTTGAGACATGTCCTTTGAATCGTGAAAATGGAGCCTTTTGAAAAACTGACATGAGTCGAGCGACTAGTTTTATTGTTGAGCCTTCGCAATAGTTTTAATGAAAGTAATTTTCATCCGTCGCCAATGGATTTCGCATACGAAACGCGCGGATAAATTAATTTAAACTGACATACCAGTTACGAGTACCAATCAACATTGAATATCAAAGGCTAACTTTATTAATTAACGAACCGACTCAAAGTGAGTAGGAAAAAATCAGCGTGTACTAATTGTATTATTATTTATTAATTTGATCGTGTGATCGTGTATTATTTACATTCTCCCCGAAGCGACAATATCTTTTATCATATACATCACTTTCTACGGCTCAAATTGACATCTACACTCGTGCATATATCAAATTGCTAAGAATTCCATCTGTACGAGACCCCTAGCAATTCGAAGCTTGGGTTTTCAACCCCTCTAAGCGACCCCGTCGTTTTCTAGATCTGACCTTGACTCAAACGATCTTACGTAACTTTTATTCTAATACGTCTATTTTCATGACTACATATTCTGCCAATTTATTAAATTTTAATAACTGCTTAAATTTTTACAGTTTTTCTTTAATTAAATTTTTTCAGTTTTTCTTATTATTAAATTCGATCGTTCTCAACATGGCAAACACAGAAAAAAGCCGTTCCAATAGACGCTGATTTTCCGGACAATCTCTGGACTGGAAGTTCAATTCCCGAGTACGTATGATATCGTCGCCCCAGCGCAAGAACCGCACAAATAAACTTAAGGGGCAAAAACAACCTTATCCCTATGTTAAAAGGATAGGATTAAGGCACCTTTTTGCCACTTGAGTTTATTTGTGCGGTTCTTGCGCTGAGGCGACGATATTTAATAATGCGCGATGAAAAAAATCGAATATAAATGAAAATATAATTATAACGCATTTTGCAAAACGGGTTCAGTTGAAGCCCAAATTTTAGCCTTGGAAAACAGAAAGAAAAAGCTGGAAACAGTCAAAGCTAGAATTGTTTCTGAAATGGAAATGATCGAGACACAATTAGAAAAGTGTTACAACCAGCTTCAAGCAGAATGTGAACGCGGAGAAACCGAAACGTTACATGCTAAAGGCGAAGGGCCTTCGGAGATCAGATGGAAACGTTTGCTAGTGAGTATCGATACATCTCTAATGAGTCAAGCGATCTGAACGAACTGAACCTTTTTTTTAGGCCGATATAAGGTGGACAACAACGACGTCAGTAAAAATCTGAGCAGATTAGAAAAATTCAATGTATCTACTCGCAAAAGACCCAGACTTTCTTTAGTAGGTAAAAAAACCTCCAATGGGAGGGTATTGATGAACGTTGAAGAAGAAAATAAGACACTGAAAGCCGCCATAAATAATGTAAAAGAAGTCCATTGAAGGGACCTCGACATGTAGCACACATATACAGATGATCCGATAGATTCCAATCGTCCTGTCGGTACAATTGGTTGGAAATTTTGTATGATTTATTTTTCGCCATTCTTCACAAAAAATTTTTTATCTAATGATCCACGTATACTCTAAACCCAAAGGAGTCATTTTCGAACCTCAAAAGAGTAAACTGCGTTATTTATTATTTTAAAAAGAGTTAATGATTCAGTTTACTCCTTTCACTTTACTCGACAAAATCCCAATACCTCAATAGACCCCACCACGAATCATCACCCAATTATAAGGAAAAATAGTTTTTTATTAGCAAAATCGAGTGGTATGTCTATTTTTGGTGTGGGTGCCTCGTAGAAAAAGTTATGTACCATATAAACGTGGAAATTTGCCCGCGCTCATTGTGTAAATATTTTCAGTGCATTTTAATCGAAGTTTGCGTTACACATCAACAGTTTTACTATAAATGGCACAATTTATATTGCCCATTTTAGTTTTCGACATTTTGGGAAAGATGACGCTATGTTCTTTTTTTGAATGTCAAAAAATCAATATTTTAACCAAATTTAGGAGCAAATATTGTCTTAAAATAATTGGTTCATCGGCTTCAGCTTTAACATGTACTTTTTGAAATCCTCAATGGCCCTCGCCCAAATTTGATGGGCACTATTTTTTTCATGTTTCTGAATCACTTTTAAGTCCCTGTTTGAAAAAGGTACGAGCGAGCACGAGTGACGAATGTGTGTGAGTGGGGGGAGAGTCCCGGCTCTCGGTGTGTGCTGTGCTGTGCGCTGTGCGTATGCCTAATTATTCTCTCTCATAGTACTGTGCGTGGTACATGCTTACTGTAATCAATAAAAGTGTCTTCTATAAATACATTACTTAAATTAACTTATATTAATACATTAATTAAACAATACTTGATTAAAAGTGTCTTTTATTAATACACCAATCTTTTCCTCTGCTCTTTAAAGAAGCCCGCGGCTCTTATTATTAACATTTTGGTGCATCGGCCGGGAAAGAGCAATGAAGTGAAAAAGAAATTCGTGCAAAGTGAACAAAAGCAAATTGCAAAATAAAAAATAAAGTGTTGAACTGATACAGTGAAAATTGTGGCATTGATTACGGTGTGCAGTTTGAGTGAATCACATATGATCGAGCTGAAAAACAACGATATATGTGATAATTGTCTAAGAACAAACTGAGTGAATGGCAATATCCGCCATTACTCGCTTCATTGCGATAAGCGCGTAAAGACGGCTTATCGAAACGTCGAGAATTTCGGCATTCTCATGCTCACATCCTGTCTTGTTGTCTCTCTGTCCTTCTTCTATGCACGCACAGTTTAGAAGCTCCAAACCGAGCAAGGCCAATGGAGACGTCTCGCAAATAGACTTGCGCACTTGATCTGCTGGTACGCAGTTCATCTCTTGCTCTCGTTATCTCTCTTTACCTACAGACGGTATAATTTCGGTCGCAGAATATACACCTGCGTTGACATTGCCACTAAAGCCATTCGATATAGTACAGTGAAATAATAGAAGAAAACTGATACTATACAGAAGCAAACTACACTTTGTTCAACATGTCTACGAAAGAGGAATTAGTGGCAGAACAACAATCCTTGATTCTCAAACTCTCAAAGGCACTAGATAATTTAAAAAAGACTCCATCGGAGCGTAAGAGTGAAACTCACTTCAATAACCGCAGAGCAGTAATAGTCCAACATTGGACCACATTTTATGAAAACGATCGAGCCATAAACCGTCTTAAAAATGTTGCAAACGATGATTATATAACAAAGGAGTGGTTTGCTGAAGCTGAAGAAATATACATGGATTCGGTGGTGCTCATAGACAACGCCATCGAACAATTACGTCGACAAGCACAACAAGCTCAACCGCTGATTCCTCCGACGAACGAATCCAGCTCTACAATCCAAGCAGTATCGCAGCAAATTCAAATGCCCAAGATAGATTTGCCGAAGTTTGACGGAAACCCTCTCGAGTGGAAATCTTTCAAGGACCAGTTTAATGCGTTGGTTCACACGGTTGGTACAATTGACAACACGCGTAAATTTTTATATTTAAACTCTTGTCTGTCCGGTGAAGCCGCTGACGTCATTGCAAATTACGAAATAACGTGTCAAAATTACTTATCTGCATTTCACGATTTAAAGGAACGGTATGATAACAATCGAATACTGTCGGGAGCATGCATGAGAAAATTATTCGATTTGGAGCAAATGAAAGGCTCAAGTGCACATGATTTAAAACTAATCCTAAACGCCTTTAAACAAATTATTCGTGCATTTGATGGACTAGGAAAACCAATTGATGTGTGGGACGAATGGTTTGTGTTTCTTCTCTCTGAAAAATTAGATAAACAAACTAGCATTCATTGGGAAACTTCTCTTGGCGATAGCAAAGCCGTTCCTACATTTAAACAAATGACCAACTTCTTAGAAAATAGAATGCATGCACTTGAAAAAGCAAACCAATCTGCAAAGTCAAAATCAAATTCCAATGTAACAAACGCAAACCATAGATCCACAAATCAAAAGGGTAATAATAATAATAATGCTAATGTCTCTCAAATAAACAGACAAAATACTTGTACTTATTGTTCAGAAAGTCATGTAACCGGTAAATGCAGTAAATTTAAAGCGTTAATTCCGAGCAAGCGAAAAGAACATGTGACTCAAAACAGACTGTGCTTTTTGTGCCTAAAATCTGGGCATAGCTCTCAAGCATGCACTTCATCATATAGATGTAACGATTGCAAGAGCAAGCATCACATACTACTGCATGATGCACTCAATAGTAATTCCTCAAATAAACGAGCACAGACAGCACAGTCTGATATTGAAATAAATTCCTGCGTTGCTAATAGTGTAACACCGAATAAAATTATTGCATGCGCGAATGATAGTATAAGAACAAAAAACAAATCAGTAGTGCTGTTAACTACTGCACAGGTGAGGCTCGTGACTCGGTCTGGCAAAGCTATTATAGTTCGAGCAGTTCTTGATTCTGCATCGAACACGTCTTTCATTACCAAAAAAATTGCAGAAAAATTAAAATTACCAAACTGGCCTATTAAAGCAGATTTATTTGGTATCCTTGGCATGAATGCGGGTACAGTGGCACGTGAAACGACATTCTCCATTAGCCCGACGGACAATCATCAAGTACAGCTACCAGTGACGGCTCTCATCATAGACAAGATAACTCAGGATACACCAAACGCCCCAGTAAAAAATTACAATTGGCCTCATTTGACGGGATTGACGTTGGCGGACCCTAGTTATGCAACACCAGGCACCATCGACTTACTCATTGGTACAGACCTTACTGGTTTCATTTTCAAAGATGGTGAGCGACAAGGAACGTTGGATGAACCAGTGGCCAGGCTAACCATTTTCGGATGGGTGCTCATGGGAAAAACGCATCCGCCCAAATCAAATAACTGTACCAAGATCACTGAATCAAGGACAGTGACATGCTGTACTGCATTTAAAGCAGACTTATTCTGGGATACAGAGGTGCCTCAGAAATCTCATACCGAAGTCAAACCAATTACTTGTTTAACAAGTAGTCACATTATCAGCAATATAAATGAGCAGAGCTCTCATGATTCTAATCAATGCGTTGGCTGCGATTTACAGAAATTCTGGGAAATAGATGATCTTCATGAGTCAGCTATTCCCTCTGATGACGATATTCAATGTGAAAGAATATTTGCTGAGTCTGTTCAGCGTGATGCAACAGGTAGATACGTGGTACCACTGTTGTTTAAGTTAGATCCAAATAAACATTTAAAATCTAACTTCTCTACTGCCAAAAAATGTTTCACTCATCTCGAGACAAGATTAAAAAATGATAAAATGTTAAATAACAAGTACATTGAATTTATGACTGAATACGAGTCTCTCAATCACATGAATGTGTCACATATCTCAAATGAAATCGGGTATTTCATACCACATCATGGAGTTTTTAAGACTCATGATAACAGTAATAAGTTACGTGTTGTGTTTAATGGCTCATCAAAAACTTCGTCAAAGTATTCACTGAACGACTGCTTATATGCAGGTCCAAAGCTTCAAAATGATATATGGATTGTGTTAACTCGATGGAGACTTCACAAAGTGGCCTTTACTGCTGACATAGTCAAGATGTATAGACAGATCCTGGTAAATAACAACGATCGAAAGTGGCAACGAATCGTGTGGAAAAGTCAAGAGTCTGATGAAATAGTGTCATATGACCTCAATACAGTAACGTATGGATTAACGTCATCGCCATTTCTCGCGTTGCGAGTATTGCAACAATTGGCCAATGACGAAGGAAAAAACTATCCAATGGCAGCTGAGATATTAAAGCACGACTGCTACGTGGATGATTTCTATGCAGGAGCTGACAGTGTTGAAGAAGCACTCTCAATTCAACGTGAGCTGATTAGTATTCTCAGGGCTGGCGGTTTTGAATTGAGCAAGTGGGCAGCGACTGATTCAAAATTACGCATTGAAAAAAAGGATTTGAACAAATCAATACCAACAGCCGAAGGAATATCTGCCTTAGGTCTGTGGTGGAATTCAAAAGAGGACTGCTTCTCACTACAAGTGTCCCTATCTCCTAAATCACGAGATGCTCCAACAAAAAGAAATATTTTGTCGGAACTATCAAAATTATTTGACCCCCAAGGGTGGTTCTCTCCAGTGCTGATATTTGCCAAAGTTGTCATTCAGGATACGTGGCTGTTAAATCTTGATTGGGATCAGCCATTGCCCTCAGCACTCGCGGAAAAATGGGTCAACTTTTATGAATCACTATCACTGTTAGAGAAAATTACAGTAACTCGATGGATAGGCATAACAAAATCTACCAACACCATAGAATTACATGGATTTTGTGACGCATCTGAACGTGCATACGCTGCATGCGTATACTTACGAGTATTGATGCCTGATGGTACGTATAAATCAAACCTACTGATTGCAAAGTCCCGCGTGGCACCGGTAAAAACAATGAGCATTCCAAAGCTAGAACTCTGTGGAGCAGTGCTCTTAGCTGAACTACTACAAAAAATAAAAGCTGGGCTTCATCTGGAGTCAGTAAAAACTTATGGCTGGACAGACTCCAATGTCGTATTAGCATGGATATCCAATCATGCATCGAAGTGGACTCCATTTGTGGCAAATCGAGTATCGAAAATTCAGTCAATATTGACAGCACAAAATTGGTTTCACGTATCGTCAGGACACAATCCTGCCGACGTAGCCACTCGTGGAATCACCCCTTCACAGCTCAAAAATTGCCAACAATGGTGGCATGGCCCCTATTGGCTTGAGAAAGATATAATTAAATATACGTCATCTGCGCTACCAAAAATACCTCCAGAAAGAAAAAATAACATAACAATATTGACTGCACAAGTGAGCGATAACAATAATATTTTGACTAGATTTTCTTCGTATTCAAAACTAATCAGAGTCGTGGCATACATCAATAGGTTTACAAATAATTGCAAACGATCGACTGATAAGCAGTCTTCATTTATAACATCTCAAGAATTATTGCATGCCAAAAATACAATAATTAAAATTTCACAACGCACAAGCTTCAGTGCAGAAGTCGCAGATTTGAATAACAAGAAATGCATAAAAAATGCATCAAAGCTGTTACCCTTTAAACCATTTCTTGACAGCATGGGAATTTTGAGAGTAGGAGGCCGAATAGAAAACGCTCCTATGTTAACTTTCTCAAATAAACATCCTATTCTACTGAGTAAGTCCTGCCCGTTATCTACTCTTTTGATAAATTATGCACACAGCCAAACTCTTCACGGCGGACCATCTCAAACAAGAAACTTTGTATCCTCACAATTTTGGATAGTAAATGGTAGAGCCTTATATAACAAGGTGGTGCGAAGCTGTGTGAGATGTGCAAGACATGCAAATCAGCCAATACAAGCTCAAATGGCTGATCTGCCAAGCTGCCGAGTGACAGGAATCAAACCATTTTTGACCACTGGTGTAGATTACGCAGGACCCATTCGTATAACGCCAATTCGAAGACGTAATCTAAAACCACAAAAAGCTTACATGTGCCTTTTTGTGTGTACGGCCGTCAAAGCTGTACATTTGGAATTAGTCTCCGATATGACGTCAACGGCATTCATTGCAGCGTTTAATAGATTTATCGCGCGCAGAGGTCATTGTCAGCTACTCTTGAGTGACAACGGCACAAATTTTCACGGTGCAGATCGACAGCTGCAACAAATGTATTCGGAAGCGTCGAGCTTTTATCATAACACTGCACAAACTCTTGCCAACGTGGGTGTAGAATGGGCATTCATTCCACCGTCTGCACCCCACTTCGGTGGCTTGTGGGAGGCCGGTGTACGTTCAGTAAAGAGCCACTTACGTCGTGTAATTGGAGACACAGTACTGACTTTTGAAGAATTAAGCACATTGCTATGCAAAATAGAAGCATGTCTGAACTCAAGGCCGCTCACTGAACTCAGCTACAATCCTAAAGATAAACTACCACTTACTCCAGGACATTTTTTGGTTGGTGAACCCACAAGATCCATACCTGAACCAAATTTAATCAATGAAAAAATATCACCTACCAATAGATGGGATATGATTTCAAAACTACGAGACATATTTTGGGAACGGTGGAGAAAAGAATATCTCCAAACATTACAAAAACGAGTCAAATGGCTCCGACCGCAACCCAATGTACTGAAGGACTCTATTGTTCTATTGATCGAAGAAAAAGTACCTCCGTCACAATGGCCACTAGGTAGAGTCATCGAGACAATCAAAGGAAAGGATAATATAGTTCGTGTAGTAAAAATAAAGGTTGGATCAAAAATACTAACTCGCCCAGTGGTGAAACTCTGTTTGATGCCAATACCGACACCACGAGCTTCACCTGATCAATAACATTAACTTACCTACTTAAATAGCAACATAATTATAATTATAATTATCTACGATCCATAGTAATGTTAATTCAAATTAGTATGATGTATACTTGTAACATAAAGATAAACTATTGTACGTAAAATGTATTATGCACGTGTATCATATAAAACTATTTATTATAAATCGTATGTATCAATGCCTGTCTCCGACCGGGCTGGCGGTATGTTTGAAAAAGGTACGAGCGAGCACGAGTGACGAATGTGTGTGAGTGGGGGGAGAGTCCCGGCTCTCGGTGTGTGCTGTGCTGTGCGCTGTGCGTATGCCTAATTATTCTCTCTCATAGTACTGTGCGTGGTACATGCTTACTGTAATCAATAAAAGTGTCTTCTATAAATACATTACTTAAATTAACTTATATTAATACATTAATTAAACAATACTTGATTAAAAGTGTCTTTTATTAATACACCAATCTTTTCCTCTGCTCTTTAAAGAAGCCCGCGGCTCTTATTATTAACAGTCCCTAAGAAAAATTTCACGAGTGTGCTTTAAAAAAAAATAGGTTTTATAATGGCAAAATATTAAAATTTCACGAGATTTACTCATATAATGCTTTACACGCACCATGCACAAATGGACGTATTTAAATAATTCAGCTGTTACGTGATATCGAGCAAGGTTTGTCGCTTTTTAAAAATTTATAAGACACGTGTTTACGCACAACTAAAATATCCAAGGGTTAACTTTAACTGCATATAGATAGTCCAAAATAGCATGTAATGGACAATAATTGACCATATAATTATATCAAATGCATCGTGAATACTTTTGACAAATCACTCAATAATATATAACTATCCAAAATCAAAAATTTCGTTTCAATAATAAATTTTACACTATTATCATTAATACACGAAAAGCTCATGCGAGTCACAAAAATTGGTGGACAATAGAATTCTTTTGTTTTACTTAGCAACCTTCCCCTTCATATTTAAATGTTTATAAGAGTTAAATGTTATACCAGTATGTACAGTCGTAAATTTCAGTCTAAGTTTTATTTTTGAATGTAATATTTTGGAATGATTGCAGTTTACAATTATCATTAGCTTAAAAAAGTTTTATTCTTTTTGACATCCCAAATATGAGTTACTACATTGATCTTTTGCTTTCTGAAGAAAATTATTCGCCCCCAGCTATGATAAATTATCTTTCCTATATTACTCAATGGATTTTTATATCTCCAGACATGAATAAAATTATTCGAAAATTTGGAATAATAATGGTTATCAGCTTTTTTGGATTTGCATTGTTTAATATGGTATTTATAAATGCAATTTTGAATACAAGATCTCCTTAAAGCATAAAATATTGCTATATTTTTTAATTTATTTACAAGCAATACATATTGTGTCTTACGTGTGCGTTAAAAAATTGTTTGAAAATGTTTTTAACGTCAACTGTAAGATACTTTAAAAAAATTTTCGTGAGTGAGTTTGAAGATTTTTTTGACCTTCTAACGATAAAATTTAAAAAGATTCATATAGAAAGTAGTATTTAAAATTGGTAGATTCAGAATGTGTGCACTGTTTCTTAAATTTTTTAATATTGCGGTACGATAATGAAAAAAAAAATAAGAAGTTTCGTTTTAGGCGCTAGTTCTTATACTTGGAGTTATTGAAGGAAGTATGAATGGTTATAATGTATTTGATACATTATTTGTTTTCATTCAGGTTCTTGGTTTTTTTTTTCTATTTATATCCCTCATGTACGATTCAAGTCAGGTATGTATCAAAATTATTAAAACGCATTTGTAACTGCTTTTTTAAACTGAATACCAATTTTACAATAGGTTAAGGGTATAACAATCCAAATTGGGACAATGTGGCAAAATTACGGATCTGACATTGAAAAAAAAAAAATTATATTGCAACACACAAAAATTGGCTTCATTATATCTTTACTTTACTTTTGTTAGTGCTTATTTTATGGAGTTAATGAAGTTATTTTTTTACAATTTATAACATTTTCGACATTTTTTTTAACGATTAATCATGTACTTCAATTTTAAAGTATCAAAAAGATTAACGATTGAACTACAAGTGATTTCTTACTCGATTATTTAGAGAATATAAAACTTGATATTTACAAAGATTTAAAAACGTATGTAGAACTCTGGAAATCTTGCAGGGAAAGGATGATGAAAAATGCAAAACATCTTTTCCGATGTATTAAGGTGATGCCTTGGCCACAATTTTTACCGACCGAGCACAAAAAATGTATATTCTGGTAACTTTTTTCCAGGCTGATTTTCGAAAAACGGCTCTGTGGAGCCCTCCGCATTATTGCTGTGAATAACTGCGACAAATTTCAGCCAATTTCATCGGATAGTTTTCCCGGAAAACAGGATCAGCATTTTTTATCCTGCAAACAGTAATCAAAATTTTTGATCCTGTTTTCCGGAAAAACTACCCTATGAAATGGGCTGAAATTCTGTGCAGTTATTCACAGCTACAATGCAGAGGGCTCCACAGAGCCGTTATTCGAAAATCGGTCTAGTAAAAAAGTTATTTCAATTTACATTTTTATTACAAATCAGTTGGTCAAAATTGTGGCCAAGGCATCACCTTAAGAGTATTTTTAGATTTTCTATCATGTTCTCACTGCGAGATTTTCGAGAGATTTCGTAATTTTGTAACACCCTATATAGTGATGAGAGGGTATCTTGAAAAAGATGAAAAAATGTATGCGCTTCCCTGGACAAATGTTGGAACCTCATGTAAATACATCCCAATCACGAAAATGATTATTTTTGAGCATTTGCAGGTCATTTAAAAGAAATTTTAAAATTTTCTTATCAAACCTACTGTATGAAACTTACACGGAGCCCCACAACTACCTCATAAATCAAAACTTAAGTAATGATTATTTTAAATATTTTTACAGGTCTTTTATCATTTAATTTTTTATTATATACATTCGAACCACTGGTAAAATATTCTATAAACAGTTGGATATCAGTGAATAACTCGATTAATAGAAGCTTATCGTTCTCTGTTTATTTTACTGATATTTTGGAGAAGTATTATTGGATACTTTTTTGTTACACTATGATCATAGCTTTCTTCATGATAATTGCAATCAATGCAATGAATTTTTTTCAAGTTTTTACAGGAAAATTTATTGTAGGAATGTTCTCAATTATTGGGTAAACATTAACTTAAACCAATTGTATGAAAAATTTGTAATATCCACTTAATTTGTATTTTAGACGAGATATGGTCAACATTCATGAAGAATTGGAATCGAGCTCCATACTTTATAAGAGTGAACAAAAAATGAAAATAATCAATACGAGAATTCGCAAGAACATTCGTTTACATCACGAGCTAATAGAGTTGAGTTATTTTTATGTTTAAAGTAGTAAATAAATTACTTACATTATCAAATAAAGAGTAAGAAATGATTAAATTAAATGATGATTCAACTAAAATATCTCAGGTTGTTTGAATCTGTACGAGGAATGGCCCAAACAAAGTTATTAATCACAATAATTATGTTTACTTCGATGATGAGTTTGGCAGGATTCTGGGTATTTTTATTAAAATTCTATAAAAACCAGTACCTTGTACAGCGCTGCTTGCACACAAAACACTTCTTTTTTCAATCAAGTTATCAGAAGTTGAAAAACTCGAACTTACTGAATCACACGCCATTTATTCAAATCCAACGGCCTGTCATAACATAATTATTTCGATGACAAATCACATCACAAACCATCATATTTTTTGCAGTAGAAGAAATATATATATTATAGAAATTGCAATATATTCCTCGCACTATTACAAAAAATGTATTAATATAAAGCTGAGCTCATTATTTTTAGTTTGTGGTTGTACTCCCCTACGATACATTTTATGCTTCAAAAGTGGCCTTTACAATGGTGATTGTCTTTATGGTTCTGTTGTATTTAATTTATATAAGTGAAGATATAATAAATGCTTGTGACCGATTGAATAGAAACTGGTAATCAGATGACCCAATTAACTATAATAAAATCAAAATAAAACTATATTCAAAATACTCCTTCAGTTACGGCGCCAAATGGTACTTCTTTTCAGTAAAAGAAAGACGTTTGATCATTTTAATGATCCTCAGAACTGCAAATCCTTGCACTTTCATGGCTGGCCCAACGATCCCCATGAATTATGCAACTTTTAGCGCAGTGAGTTATTTAATGCAAACGAATTAATTTTATATTCGTATAGACAAAAATTCAAATGGCAAATTTTAAAATTGTAGATTTTAAGAATGACACTGTCATATTTGATGGCTTTATATCGCATTATGGAAGATTTTCAATATTCTGACTGATTCGGAAAAATTTTACGCACAGTTTTATGTAAAAAATGGATTCAAAGTACACTTTTTTCTGTTAATCATTATTGACTTTTGGTGATTTTCGCATAAATGACGAGTGGTTGTGCTCCGCTATATGAGTAAATCTCGTGATATGCGGGCATCGAAACAAAGCTCTGATTTTTCAGCTAACATTTTTGTTGAAAATCCAAAAATTGATTGACCGACTCGTACTTTCGACCGGGGATCAAGAAAAATAGTATACGGCACGCGGGGCAAAAGTTGAAGGCCCTTGTACCGTAATGTACTAGTTTATAATGGCAAAATATTAGAATTTTACGAGATTTACTCATATACACACACAAAGAATTGCCCACAAGTAAATAAAATCATAAAAATAGAAAAGAAAAAGCAAGCAAGAAACGCACGATTGAAGTGCGCTCGCGAGAAGAAGCCGCGCGAACCCGTTGAATGAATTTTCAGAGACGTCCTGCGCGCCACGGTGCATACTATATACAGATAAAGTTTAAAAGCAGTGCAGCATCGAGATCGTTTACGCATATAATATAAATATGTATGTATTATATACGCACGCGTGCTCCTCGTGTACACACATAGTGCGCAAACTTAGTATATATCATTTTGTGCTGCTGCTGCTGCTGCTCCTCGGCCTGAATACAACGAGCCGCCGACAGTAAGTCAAATATTACACGTGTTATGTATGTTATTCGCTCTCGGATCCAGCGCGAGAGTACGTATTATTTCAAAGGCTTATTATTAGCCGATCAAGCCTCTTTGCGTTTATAGACACAACACACAGCCTCGCACGGGCGTGCGTATATATGTAAAACTCTCGGCTCTCGTCGACTTTTTTTTTCCTTTTTTTTTTTTCAAGTAAGTAAAAGAAAAATAACCAGGTGTAAAATAAGCGTACTCGCGATCCACGCGGACGTTTGATCCACTCGCGCGCGCGAATACATAGGCGTGTGCCCAAAGGGAAAAAGGGAATCACGGTTGTGTGCGTGCGTGCGAATAACAAGGTCGTTAAAGTGGAATAAGTAAATGCGCGATTGATAAGGCCAGAGAGACGATCTCGGCCGAGAGAATTTTCTCTCTCTCTCTCTCTCGCTCCTCTTTGC